AAATAACAAAAAACAAATTTGCTTGAATAGATCAAACAACTTAGGTTTCCTAATGGATATGTGTCCAGTCGAGCTAGATATGTTCATATGAGGAATGACAAACTCGTATGGAATGAAAAGTCATGACTGCCACATCTTTATATAGAGGTTAGTTCTCGTTACATTTTGGGAGCTTTTGTTGGGAAATGTTTAACAAACACTTATCGAGTTGATTTTTTTTTCAAGCAAATGACTTCTACTATAATAAGGGAAGAAGATATGCTACGACTTCATGATGAGATACCCATCATTTTATATAAACTAGAGGTATTCCCTCCTAGCTTTTTTCACTCCATAGAACATCTTTCCATCCATTTGACATGTGAGACATTTATTATAGGACTTGTACAATATCAATAGATGTATCTGTTTGAAAGGTAATGACATTGAATTTTAATATTAAATTAAATAATCTTGCAATTATTGAATAGTAAATTAATTTATATTATAAGTACCTTTAGAAGCTAAAAAAATTTATATATCAAGAATGAACCTAAAGTGAAAGGGTCAATATCCAATACATATTTGATTGAATAAGTCTCCTTATTTTGTTTGTATTATTTTAAGCCTTATATGTATACTAGGCATCGAAAGTGTCACGTAACATTGAATATGATGAAGAATAGAGTGACCGCATTGATAGGATGTTATTCATATTTAAATAATAAGGTCGATCAATTGGTCAACACATAAAATAGATGTTAACGAGAAGATGAACACAAAATAGCCTATCAATATATATTATTGAACTATGAAGAAGTAAAATCTTATATTACGCAAGTTTGTTAAACTTTCATGTCAAAATTATACATCTTTACCTACCTATCCTAATATTTTTAATCATGATAGATGCAATCGACTCTCATATATTGTTATTCCTTATTAGTAGATTTATTATCGAAGTACGATAAAATAATCCCTTCACGTTCGAGAATAAGGTTGATGCTTTACTGAATTTGCCTTCGGTTTAGACAATATGCAAAAGTAATTTCCACGATAAACTAGTTCATAAAAGATGTTGCACTAATCCCTTTGCATATTTTTAGGTCATACTTGGGTTATATTATTAACGAGTATAGGTTTTGCATACTAAAGGGAGCTATGGAAACAAAAAGTTTCAATAATGATGTGTGTATTAAGGAAACCAATTACAATGCAACCGAGAGCGACTACTATGAGATATTGATGAAAATTCTACAAGTAAAGTATCCTGCATTACTAATCAAGAGAATAATGTTGTTCAAATGCAATTGGTTTGATCCTACACCACAAGGAATAAGGTTTCATCCATAGTATAGATTGGTGGATGTTAAATATAGAAAAAGGTTAAGGAATTATGAATCCTTTGTCCTTCAATCACAATCAACTTAGGTGTATTATGTCGAGTACCCTAACACAAAGTGTGACAATCAAGATTGGTGGGTCTGTTTGTAAGATCAAAGCTAGGTCTATGTTTGACTTGTCCGAATCATCTATTGCAATCTAATAAAATTTTGAACTATTTCGGTAGGACGATTTAGAAATCCAATATGATTTGATATAGAAAGCTAAGGATGATCTATTATCCAATGATCCAAAAAGGTTGTTTATAGATATAGAATTAGTTAAGGATTACGAAGAATATGAGAATGAATATGAATATGTGTCGGATAAGAGAGATGAAAACTTAAACAATGATTATGATGGTTATAATTAAATATATGTTTTATTTGTTGCATTGGTAAGAAATGATGTATTTGTTGTTGTTTTATTTGTTACGGTATATCATATTGACTTTGATACATTTTCAAAATATTAGTTGTGTATTTTAGTTTTATTGTATTTTAAGCGAGGTTGTGTATCAAGCGATAAGGAAATGTCCAATTTCACTCTTGAAATTTTGTTCCAAAGATATTATGCGGCTTTGATGTGTGGTTTATGCTGACCTCCTATACCCTCTCAAGGATCATGATTTGGTAATCGTGGATGTGCATCCTCGGCCGACTACGGTGGACATGCTTCCCCATCTAGCAACAAATGTGGATCTCTTGCTTTCGATGCTCTATACGGGTTCTACATTGTGGGATGTTCATCTTATTCCTTCTTTGGAGCAAGCACTTTTATATTGATTATGGCTTTGACTCCCTCCATGACCCCAACTAAGCGTCGTCTCCCTCAACAATCATTTCCCTAGCCATAGGGCTTCTCCCGATCGTCCACAAAGGGTCCCTCATCCATTGATGTATCTTTCAATTCGGAGAGCTCTCGAGGCTCCATTAGTCGACAATAGGTTTTGGTCATTAATAATTAGTATGTAATTTGTTTAAAATATTATAATTATTTTTATTTTAATAGTATATCATTTCAATAATTACTACCATCTTTTTTTTGGTTGTGTTTTATAGTTTTCATCCATGTCGGAGAGATTATTCTAAAAGGATAACCATGATTATCAAGGAGCGACTAGACATTGGTGGATTGGCATGAAAGTCCATCTTGAAGTAGATGAAACAGTTTTACTTGCAGTGAGTTTAAGATAACGTATTACTTATTTATTTGTATTACATTTAAAATATTAATTTAACATAAAATAAAATAATATTAATTTTTTATTCATTTATAGAGTATTTTTACTGCGATTCAATCATCGAGATTAGGCTAGAGATGTTTGGGAGGCTTTAGTTAGGAAGCACTACTTTGACTTCGTTCATACGTATGGTGCGAATGACAAAAGATCTTCTTCTTTTTTGGCGAGGAGGTATGTGATTCATGGCAATGAGATTTTACTACTCCCGATCGTCGGATGTGTTTACGACAAACAACACGTAATTGGATGTTAAAGACCAATGGTGTTAGTTCAAGCTTGTCCGAGCATACAGGGGGTCCATATCTATTGCTTGAGCACTCCGCCACATGGTAAATCCAATCCTATATTATTCAATATTTAAGAAATTAATATTTGTATCTCATATTATTTGTATCTATTTTTTTAGGACTTTCCAATTGAGGCATGAGCCTACTAATTTAGAGTTGTTTGGGCTACTCACAAGTGAAGAGATGAGACTTTCATCGATTTATGATCCCAAACAACAATGGTAAGTGTTTTTTTAATTTTTAAATTATACATATGCAAATATAATCTAAAAAATTATTTTATTTGTTAACATTATAATTATTTTGACTATGCATGAACATGTGAAGGAGTAGTTATAAGAAGCTATTAGGAAGCAGAGAGAGGTTGGAATTGAGGAGCCGTAGGTCAACTTGAACACCATATGCTTTGAAAGCTGTAGGAGAGGAGAAGAAGGTTTATAAGATTGGGTCACAAACGTTGAAGTATTTATCTCATTCAGCTAATGCCAATTCGTCCTCCATATCTTCACGAGTTCCTTAGCGACAATGTTGGTGATCGGGTTCGAAGCCGGTATGAGAAGACTGCGAGAGGAATGCGAGTGAGGTTGGACGAGTAGAATAATATTATCATGCGGTAGTAGATAAAGATCCACATGATGAAGATTCAAATTAAGTCAATTATACTAACGTTACATAGGTCGGCACGGACGTCCCGCTTGACTACCGATCGGTTCACCAATCGGGACTCCATCGTCCTTCCCATCACACCTTGGGACTCCATCGTCTCTCCCACCGAGCTGCGAGAAAAATGAGAGATGATTAGATTATCATGATGAGGAATGACTTTTATAATTTCTTTTATATTTTTACTTTTTTTTTCTTACGTACTAATGAATAATTTTTTAAAATATCAATTCAATTTAACTTATAATATTTTAATTTCAATACAAAAATATTATTTTTATCATAAGTTATTTTTTTAATCGTTAGTTACTATAAAGAATATAAAAAAATTTAAAATTAAATAAAAATTTTTAAATTTTTTTTTTAATTATTGGCTATGAATTAATAAGAGATTAGTGAGGGACTAGTTGTAACACCCCCAACTTAAGACCTCTTGGGTAGAGAATATTATCGTCGTTAATCTACATTCGAAGTGTAATCAATGCAAACCAACAAGACTCTATGTCTTTACTATGGTATTTTAGGTATGAAATTAGTTACGAAAACTTAACAATGATGGACATGTCCTAAATTTCAGCCTAAAATGCACTATAAAATTTTCACATTTTATCATTGTATTTAAATTATTTGGCTCGAAATGACTAGATCCATGATACTCAATTTTCTCAAATTCTTTCTCTATTAGTCTATATAAATTCATTTAATTATTTCTCATAATTTGGTAATTAATTCCTTTTTATCCTCATTAATTACCATTTATGATGATTATTTTCTCATTAGTTTCGTTGTTCTTATTTTACTATTGAATGCTAACATATAAGCAAATAACTTAAAAAAAACTACATTATTTATGATTATACTATCATTTTACTATCAATATTTTGATTAATATACATGTTGTCTTTAATTTACATATGCTAGTTCTATGTCACATACTACAAAAATGACTTATTTAGTACATCATTTTTTTATTAACTAACTACTCATTTTTCATAGCTTTGACTATAATATAAAAAACGGATATCATACCCAAAAAATAAAATAAAATACCAAGTACTAAAACAACTATAGTGTGAACGAGATCCATTTTCTAGCCACATCCAACATACATGCGACGCACTTGTCCCCTCGGTAGTCGGCTCAAAGGTGAAAATCACTATCTTTACTTATGCTATATATACTATAAGAAACTAAGTAAGTGATAGCTCGGTAAGTTAATCTATGCATGAAGTGGATATATGCACGTGAAATGCACATGAAAAATCATTTTCATGTCTTTTCGAGAACCCTTCTCATTATCATTCTAAAAACCCTTTTTCATACTTGGACGCACCCTATTGAGTATTCGAAGGCACACGTCCGTACTCACTTAACTATCTTCCCTGTGTAACTCTCTTGTGGGGTCATCACTAATTCCCCTACAATCGAGGCTAATATAAATTCTCTCAACGAGAAATGCTATCTCCTTCCGTTAGGGCTCTCCCAACATGAAGATTTTCTTTGGCATTAGCAATTGCCAACTTGGCAACGAAGAAAATGTCGGGGACCATAAAAATCATGAAAACCATGTATCATATAATTCATAAAAGGTCATGAAATTCCATGTGAATCGTGAAATATTTTCCCAATGCTTTTGGAAAACTATAAAGGAAACCTTTTCATAACTTTGAATCCTTTCCATGAATTGGCATGCATATGTATTTTATTGAAAATGCATAACCATTATAATTTCATGAAATACATGCCATGAGTGAGATGCATTTATGCCATGATAACGCATAATTTAATGAAATAAAATGCACCATATACATTATCTTATTAAGACTATTCCAACCCATTCCAAATAATGGCACCATCACACCATATAAAACAATGCATTTTCATAACCATCAACATTACAAGTTTCACACATCATGCACACATTAAATACATCAAATGGCATCCAAGGAACCAAATTACAATTGAATTACACAAACCAAAATATAAACCCTAAAAATTCTAACCTAGGCTGAATGTCAACCACAATTTAACCCAAACATTTTCTCCTAATTTCAAAACCAATTTCTTCTAAAATTCCATTCAATTATGCATTAATATTAAGAGCTAACTCAATTAGGCATTCATTGATTGAATACATGCATTAACTTTAAATTGGACCTTAATACAATTTTAGTTAATTTTTCAACTTCAATGCAATTTCTCATTATAATTCATCTCATTACATTATGCTAAGTCTAAATTGATCAATTGAATCATTAGAAGTCAAACGTACGTAAACCCTAATTTTTCTTCCAATTGGGCCAAATATGGGCCTAAGTAATTTAGGTGTAATTCTTCAATTTTTATGCAATTTCTCACTTTCATTCACCAATTCATACTTAAACAACTATTAATCAACCAATAATTCATTAAATAGGCAAATGAATCAAAACCCTAACATTGGACAATTTGGGCCGAATGTTTCCTAGGAATTCCATGAAAATTTTTCCAATTTTAATGTAATTTCTCGTTTTTAATAATCAATTCATACCTAATTAAGTGGACTTTTTCCTTGGTTGACTCCATCACAACCCTTCATTTGGTTTAATCTTGGCCCTTAACTTTTTTTTTTTTTAAGCTAGTCTTTCAATTGGTTTCATCCTAACCATATTTAGTCTTTAAATTTTGTCCCTCCATCTAACCACTCTCTATAAATCTAATCCTTCTATTTGTACATGCATTAATTACACCCAAATTATTGAGCTGACATGGGTGGCAAAAGCGAGAAAAATCTCTCTAAAAAATGCTTAATTTTGGTCCTTAAAGTTGCTAATCTTTTTTTAGTTACTCCTCTACAAGTCCCTCAATTTTTCAATTGATTACTTTAGGTCCTTCCTTTAAAGGTTTCCTAACAACTTTTTAACTCCTAAAGTTCATATCTAATTTGATTTGAAAGTTTAAACTTTTAATTTTATGCAATTAGGTCCCTAATTCTAAAATATTCTAAAATTTTATTTCATACCTTTCCAAAATCAATTTTTTTCATAATAAATTCAAAAACCTCCTAAAAGAATTTAATCATTACTCACACAATTTTTATACACTTATTTTGGCCTTCAAATTAATTATTTAGTGCAAAAATACACTATTTCCTATAGAAAATATTCCTTGTACATAAAAAAATCATCTAAGTTTATAAAATATTCCTAAAAATCCTAAATGATTTTTCTATGCCCATTGGATAATTTTCTTAGACCTTTAAAGCATTTAAATTAATTAATTTACCTCAAAAATACTATTTATGCACGAGTAAACTTCATATAAAACAATCACGGAATATCAAAAAATTTACCCAATGGCATCGAATAATCTAGCAACCCTCCAAAAAATATTCCATGTAAACAAAATATTTTTCATGCACATTCATTGATCTTAAAATAATTAATTTACATAAAAGTCACTATTTATGCACCGAAAATCGGATAAAACATTTATTCGAGCATCGAAAAATCATCCTAAATGAGCCAAATACTCTATCAACCTATTTAGAATTATTTCATACCCATGAAATAATTCTCTCATACCTTTAATATATTTTTAATTTATTTAGTAACGGGTTGGGATGTTACACTAACGATGGAATAGCAACAGAATAGCAACTCTGTTTTAGCATTGGATAATAATGATGGATTTTCATTCGTTACTTAGCAATGAATTTAAGATAAGTTTGCAATAAAATTACGACGGATTATATGGTGGAAGACGACGAGTTTTGAGTCCACTTAGCGATGGAATAAAATGAATTAGTAACGGATATCGTACATTGCATCACGAGAGGTTAGGGATGATCGATTTAGTGATGGATTTTTTCAGTCGCAAATCCATCGCTAAGTCGTTTTAACGACAAAATTTGCTTGTTATAACGACGGATTTTTCTATTGCTATTTTGCTATTTGTTTTGTAGTGAACTCAAAAACTTAAATTATTAGTTGATGTCCTAAAATAGTTTATATTAGAATAAATAACTCATTTGTCCTTATCTAATACTAAAAGTCTTTCATTTGTTCTTAGGTTTTTAATTGCATTATATTTATCTCCGAAAGTATTTGAAATATTTAATCCACCCTTCCCATCAATTTTTTCTAACCAAATAAGAATTTTTTAACCAAAGTGTCCGTGATTAAAATTGTTTTTATAAAACTTCAAAAATATAACATGTAGGTCATATGACTTTAAGTGTTTTTTTTTCTTTTTGCATTTTAGTAAAGGAAATTTTGGTAAAAAAAAATTTATGGTTGGAAATTTTTTTATTAAAAGGACAAATTGAATGCTTTAAATTTTTTAGAAACAAACTAAATGTAATTAAAAATTTAAGAACCAATAAGAGACTTTAAGTATATATAACATTGTATAAGATATGTCAAATAGTTGTCCTGTTGTCCCGTATAAGGTCTATATAAACAACAACAACCGTAATAAGGGTATCTCCTTAAATCTTGCATAAGATGTATATAGACACGAGATAAGTTTAATAGGAATATATTATAGAGTAATATAAAACTATTTATAAGATCTTATTCAACAACTTAAATTTTAACTTTTGATTGAAATGGTTCTTTAATTGTAATTTTGGGTTAAAATGATTATTTGAGAGTAACTAATGTTCGTTTACAAAAAAAAAAAAAATAAGTATTTGATTGTAATTTTGGATTAAGATGATTTTTTGACGGTAGCTAATGTTTATAAAATTTATAAGAATATAAGCCAAATAGGTGTCCTAATGCCTTGTATAAGTTGTCTAGAAACGCTGACAACCTTAATAAGAGGTGTTAGAAAGTAAAGATAAAATTATTTTTGGAGTCTTATACAATAGTTTTAGTTTTGAGATTGAGATTTTTTTATATAGTATAGTATGTTCCTTTACATAAAAATAAATCAAATAGTTGTCTTGATATCCTGTATATGGTGTATATAAACACCGACAACCTTAATACAATCATTATTAATTTAAGTATGCCAATATTTATCTTATTTCAATAATTGAAACATTCTATAGCGTCTTGATGTTTATATAATTTTATTTCCTTCTCCATTTTTATGCATATGCATAATTTTTCAGAAACAATTGACCTGCAAGTATAAAAGCTAATAGAAAAATATTATTATAGAACAAGAATGGAGATGATCGAGAATTAAGGCCGAGACAAAAGAAAGGAGACGCACCGTGTAATCATGTCTCGGTCCATACTGAACTTGAGACAAAATTTATATGATTGTTTTGAATTGTTACAAGATTAAGGGAAAAATGATAAGTAAAGGAAATATAAATGTACTTGGTTTAAATGTACTAAATTCATTGAAATACAAAATATAAATTTTAAATTGACCAAATTGATAAAATAGAATAATTTTTAATGAAATGTGCAAATAATAAGTTTTTCTCATGAATATTCAATAATTAAATGGAAAATTATTCTTTGGATTCCTTTTTTTCATCAGAGGATTGAATGGGGATAGAATCAAAAGAAATAGAGAATATTATTTGATCCTTGGTAACGTCAAATGGACTTCTTGATTCCAGACACCTTAGTGTATCCCCTGCAATAATCATAAGCACCATTATCAGGAAACCCTTAAAAAGAGGTTATTTTCGCAAGCAAAACAAGGGAAGCATCGAAGTCTTTAAAAAAAAATCACAGTTTCACTCACATCAAGTAATTTAGTATTCATTCACAAATAATTATTATAAATATAAGAGTTTATTTTTATCTAATTGATCAATTAGTTAATCAAGTTTTTTAAGTTTAGTGTTCTTTTAACATAGTATAAGATAAGTTCAATAAAATAAAATAAAATAGCATTATCCCCGTTTAATATTAATTGCAAATTAGTTTTGATACTAGGTAGGAATAGACTTGCAGTTAATCTATAGAAATTGATGTCCAATAATTTTCACAGGAGTTGTGTTATTAAAAATACAAAAAATCATGCTTACAAGTTGTCAATTCAATGGTAAAGTAACTGGCTTTAATGAATTTTTTATCAACATACAGAGTTCGATTTTTTAAAATCGTACCTTTCAAGAAAGGTTAAATTTTATCAATTCCGCTCCGAATATGATTAGTTATATCTCAATGTGAAATAGGGGTAACTGAAAAAAAAAATACAAAAAAACCATCATTGATGTTCGCTGACTAAGATGAAAATTTTGGATTAATTAATTCTTTTGGAAATAGTTAACGACAAGAAGCTATACTCCTGCAGCACTTAAGAACCATGGCAGGAGCTAGCTGAACATTATACATACTAAATTGACATGCATACAAAAAATATCCATCTGGTTGTAAAACAGATCGATATCAACCAAATGAAAAATCAATCCACAACATTTTGTGTATTTTCTCTGCTTATGTTGGCAACATGGACTCGAACTTGGCGGAATTAGTTGTAGGGCATTGGAAATTACTGCTGAAAAGTTTTCTGTGATGGGTTTTTCTGTGAAGGGTCAATCCCTTGTGTTTGAATTGAACTTCAAGAAGGCTGTGGGATGGATCACTAAGAAGGTTGCAAGGCCTACGAGTTTCAACTATGAGTTCAGAATTATGGATAATTTGATTAATCTCTTCAAACAAATTCATTTTGTTCATGTTCTACAGGAAGCAAACAATGTTGATGATTCGTTAGCTATACAAGGTGTGTACGGGTCTGAGGAGTTTTGAAGCTGTGGTTTTTACTTTCATATAACTCCCATTCTGATATTACCTTCATCTTGCATTGTTGGCTGTGCCGAGATCTTTTAGCATGCTTTTGGTGTAGTGATGGGCGGATGGTAAGGGATTTCTGACAGAAGTTAGCCTGAAGAATCAGTTGCTTTTGCAGTCCTGATGACCTGTTGCTTTGATTTGCTCTGTCTTGCTCAGAATCTACCCAGGTCCTGTCTTCTGCTTTGTATTAACTCTGTTTCATGTTCACTTCAAGGAGTCTACCTCTTGGAGTTCTATATGTTTCGCTTGGTATATCAAAAAGAAAATAAAAAATTCACAGCTTTTTGCTAGAAGGCCATCTCATTTATGGCAAGCCAAACAGACAATATTGCAGTAAAGAAACGAATGAACCATGGTTTTCGATGGGCTTTTCCTCTAGCAAAAGATTCCCATTCCTCGAAGAAATTGACAATTGACGGGAGGGTACACCAAACACATCCCCACCAAGATACAAGGTTACCCCCAATCCCCCATAATTCCCAGCAGCGGTAACAAAGAATAATTTGATTATGAAGCATGGGAAGTGTTGAATTACATGGGTGACTACTAGGAATGTAATGTACAGGGTAATAGGAGCCATTAGAAATAGTGTCGGAATTTCCTGCGACGGAAGAGAGTAAAGCATATCCCTTCAAGCCAGTGATAAGTTGGCCGGAGTTTTATAAAACACACACGTGGAGTCTGGGACCGGTTACTGATTTGGCACACGTCTAACTAACAAAGTTAAACATATTCTAATATTGACTTAACCTTTAACCCAAAAAGTGGTAAACTTTGTCTTTGTTAATACAAAAATTAATTCAAAAATATTCTACTACTTGTAAATATATAAAAAAACAAAGAAGGTAATCTATCATATTCTAAACAACATGCTAAGATCTTAATCCAACATGATGATAAGCCAAGTCACCAAGATACAAAAAATGGAGGTGGGTTATGTTAATAATTGGAAATTAGATCGTAATTTCTCTCAGCCATGCAAACATAGTAAACTAGGCAGTTTACTGCTAAATCAGGTTAAACTTTGGTGTTCATTTATTAAACAAAATCACACAAGTTCAAAACTTCTGGAGTATAATGCACGTAACAGTTTTAAGCAAAACAACATTCAAAAGGAACCTTTTCATGCTTGTTTTTTGGATTCGTCATTGATGATCATTTTGCATAAAAGATCAATCTTCATTTTCAGCACCATCTGACGATGTTTTAGCTCAATGATGCAATCCGATGACTGCTTCGCTTTAGATGGCATCCTATCATCCCAACCAGCATTTAGAGACGACACAGAACATTGCGCAGCAACTTCAAGCTGGTTAGATCCTGCCTGTTAGAGAAACCATCATCACATTATCCAAAAGTCCAAGAATACACTCCGTGATGTCTATTGCATGTACTGAATATGATAAGATAGTTTTGTCAGAAAAATGCAACCATCAATATATTTTACTGACAGAATCTACAAGTGACTTAATGGCTATCTCAGCATATAAACCTTATCTCCACAAATCATAACAAGATACAACAAGGTAATTACCCACAGATTTCTATATTAACAAAAATGTTCATCCAAACCCATGACATAGACATACCAAATCAAGATTATAATCACCCCCATATTTTTTTCCTTTGACGTAAACATTAACATCCTAACAGAATTATTCACACTTTTCACCAAATATACAAGAATTGCATTCCTCCTATGTGAATCATCACCAGTTTTAAGCAATTTTACTAAATTCTTGATATTAGGATGTTAAATACTACTTATCATTCGAACTAAACTTTCTAAAATGAGAATATCAAAAGAGAGAGAACATCAGATGATGTTTTCAACAACATTAAGTCTTTGAGTTTTGACTTTATGCAAAATAGATTCATTACCATAATAAGCACATAACTTTGTCAAACAGTCTGAAAATAAGCACATAACTTTGTATCCAATAAATAACTTTTGGTGCAGTAGTAGAGAATTACACAATTACAGATTCTTAGATTTTGTCAAACAGTCTCAACCAAGTAATGTGAACGTTCTTTGGTTTATACAAAAGTTGTCTTGCATAAACATAGTCATTCACCTCTTATGTACCTCTTATGTACGCAAAAGATAAAGTTATTGGTGAAGGGAAAAGGGGATAGATTTCACAAAGCTTTCGCTTCTTAAACTAATTTTATTGGAAATTTTCCTAAAAACATAACCAATATAGATAGTTTGAAAAATTTTGTTAAAATTAAAACAACACGATAAGATTATGAATTATTAAGTAGTCAATTATGAATAATATTAAGGATTAAATATTTGGTCAGAATAAAAGTCAATCTTTTTGATAAGATGATCTATCTCAATTTCATCAAATATGTTCAGAATAAATATCTTATATCACTAAAATACAATATCATAGGCTAAAGTTATAATGTGAAAAAGCTCTTCCGCACATAGCTCAAGCTTTTGAATTGGCCAAGACTCATTAAACATGGTATGAAAGTGTGCGGTCACATGATATATAGTGTTTATTGAATTCAAATCAAGGATTCAGTGGTATCCTAAAAGCAAATAACTACTCAATCACATATTGAAAAACAGCCCATCATTCGTGCACCAATGATAATCTTGCCAGTTTACAAGCATGATCTATTATATCCTCAAAAACCAGTAAGCATATTAAGTGAAAATGAAGCGCGTTATTTACCACAATCAAAATTCGTCTATCTAAAATTCCAAATATTAATTTACTCTGCACATGCTAAAGCACATTATGCTTTTCCATTAAAAAACTAAGTAGAGAAATTAAAAGGAAGACGGAGAGAAACCCACCATAAGATGCTGAGTCAGTAGCTCTTGCCACAAAGTCTCCACAATGTTTTCTTGTGCAGTGATTGCTTTGTTCTGCGAAACGCAAAATTCAGCTTTCTGCTGTTCGATCCCAACCTGCATAAGTTGCAGGTTCTGAATCATGAAATTCTTTTCACTCTTGATCTGCTCATTATCTTCACGAATAGCATGCAGCTCATGCACCGCCTCTTTTAATTTCTTTTTCTGGCAAATCAAAGACAATTCATGAAAACAAGAGAAAAAATGAGGTGCTTTTGCTCCTCCATCAAGAGCTTTGACTAATGTGAAGATTTGTTATTTACCTTCACATGTTTCCCACACTCGCTGTTTTTTCTCTTTTTCACTTCCGGATCTGGTGAAGTTCTAACCATACTTTCTCCACCTTGTGGTAGGTTCATGGGTTTTTCATCCAATATCTCCTTGCCGCCTCCTTGCGTGACTACATGCGAAAAAAGAAATAATAATAGCACGAATTTATGACTATTTATGGATACAAAAAAGGTATAGATGCGGGTTAAACCAATAAGTACGCATGTATATGACTTTCCGTTATCTATAATATCGGTGATTTTTTTTAAGCCAGAAGAAAATCTAAAAGCCTAAAAGCACCTACTGAGCAAGAGAGAGCCCATAAGGATAAAGAATAAGGGAAAAAAAACACAATGGATAGCCAAAATAGACGTTGAAGAGAGCCCCAGCAAAATATGGAATTTGAAAGCAATAGAATTCCAAAGATGCCACCAAGAAGCCACACAAAAACAAAGCTAATCTCATCCCATAAAAGATGTGACAGGATTGAATCCCTTGAAAACTTGAAAATTAATCAAAATAAATAAAAGGAGTACACATGGGAATGCACTTATCCACCTCACCCAACATTCGGAACTCATGAGTGAAAAACCAATATGCATCTTAGTGGACTCATACCATCTTCGCTCCTTCAAGCAGAAAGTGATAAAGTTTGTATCTCTATATATTATGAGATATTACAATTGTATTTATATAGGTACAATCCGTAATGATAAGCATGAGTTTGTTATATCCGGTGGTTTAGGTAAGTATAAGAACTAAAATAAAGGACTATAAATCTTATCTTTAACACCCCGCCGCAAGTTGTGCAAAGGCTAGAACAATAAGCAACTTGGATTTGAATTTGTGAAATAGAGCTTTGGATAATGGCTTAGTTAAGACATATGAATCTGATCAGTAGTAGACAAATAACAAACTTAGAGTGTCCCTTGTCCGACTTTATCTCTCCAAAATGGAAATCAATCTTAAGATATTTGGATCGTGAGTGAAAAAAGGAAATGGTTGTGTGATAGGTGGCAAAGATATTATCACACCGGATTATGGATGGAGTAGGACACATCATTCCAATTTCCCATAAGAGGGACTCTATCCAGTCCAACTCCGCACAAGTCGTCACAAAGACTCGACATTTAGCTTCGGTAGATGAGCGAGCAACGTTGTTCCCTAGACTCGTCAAAATATCGGGTTTTGACCAAGATAGATGGCAAATCCGGATGTACTTTTACGATCATCTATATCACCACCTCAATCAGCATTTGTGTAATCATTGATTAAGATTAGGGATGATTTTTGAATAAATAATCCATGGTCCTTGGTAGTCCGAAGGTAACGGAGGATCCTTTTACTAGCGACCCAATGAGCTTAAGTGAGAGCATGTATGTATTAAGCTACCTTATTTATAAAGTAGCTTAAATCGAGTCTAGTAATACCCAAATATTACAGCCCACCTACAATGCTTTTGTAAAGGAATGGGTGTGAAAATTCTTTACCCAACTTGCTCGCTTAGTTTGATGTTGGGGCATGCGAGTGTACCGAGTCCTTCGACTCGATGCATGTTAGCTCACAACACAAGTAACAAAAGTTCAACGAGCATACTTGTGTTGAGTAAGGAAGAAACCACCCGACTACCAATGTGCTTCTATCCCAAGGAAGTTATGTAACGGCCCTAAATGTTTAACAACAAAGGCGAGTTGGCAAAGCCGAAATGGTAGAGTGAAGCATAGGACCATTGCTTCCTACCGCCTATTACAAGTAAATCATCAACATAGACTATGCAGAGGGTGATATCATTGCTAGACTTTTTGAAAAACAAAGATATGTCCATTTGGGTGCCGGTAAAGCCTAAGGACAATAGATTGTCTTGAAGGCATTTAACTATTGACGTGGTGCTTGTTTTAAGCCATATAGTGACCGCTTTAACTTACTATTAAATTACATAGTTGAGATTGGGTTCCATCCAAAAGACTTAAGCCTTATGGTGGGTGGCCCCTTCTCAACTTTATATATTATTTATTATTGGTTTAACTATTCACCGTAGGATATGTTCTAACACTCCCCCTCACTTGCAACCCATCTTTTAGGGTTTGTCAAGTGACTTAGACTCCAGGATCTTTGTTGAGTTGTTGAGCCTCTTTAAGACTCGATACCATATTAAATTAGATAATTGAGATTGGGTTTCATCCAAAAGACTTAAGCCTTATGGTGGGTGGCCCCTTCTCAACTTTATATATTATTTATTATTGATTTAACTATTCAATAAGGGATATGTTCTAACACTTATAAACAAGAATCGGCCTCATTGTGTCAACAAAGCCCATCGATTGTGTCATGTAGACATCTTCTTCCAAGGGTCCATGGAGGAAGGCATTTGACACGTCTAGTTGTTCTACTACCTAGCCAAGTGAGACAGCAAGGGAGAGGACCAATCGAAGAGCTGTTGGTTTGATCACGGAGCTATAGGTATCATTGAAGTCTATTACAAGAAGTTGGTTGAAGCCTTTCACTACCAAATGTGTCTTATACCGATCAAAGGTATCATCAGATTTGGTTTTAACCTTTTACACCCATCTATTACCAATGACGTCATATGAAGGATGACAAATAACAAGATCCCATGCATCATTTTTAAGTAAAGCCTGCATTTCAACAGCCATGGTAGATTATCAGTGTGGTTGAGATTGAGCCTGAAAGTATGATTGAGGTTTAGGAGGCAAGACAATGGTTGAAAACGTTCATGGCTTTAACTTGCTAGTCTTGGCACAAGTAAGCATTCCGTGAGGGAGCTTGATTTAGGTTGCCTACTAAAGTATTGCGAGTGTTGGTCATCTGGTAATGATTAAGATCACAATTGAGTTTAATAAATTTGTGATCTGATGGATGGTGTGTTAGAGGTGGCTACTGTGTGGTTTGTATGAGTGGTGAAGGTTCTTGGTTTTGTGCTGGACGTAGTTGCATGGCATGAGGAAGGGATTGTGGAGAGTTTAAGGCTGGTGTCAATGACTGCAAATGTGTGTTTGCTGAAGAGGGAAGGTAATGCTGGTTATGTTTTTCTAGACGTGTTTGCATGGTTGAAGTAGGGGACTGTGGAGTGTGCAAGACTGCTGTTATAGGGTGCAGTTACATGTTTGTTGGAGGAGGAGGAATTTGTGGGAAGTGGAGTTCTGTAATGGGTAACTGTGAGGTGGACACGTCCGGTTGCATGGATGTTGTAGGGCACTGTGTAGTGTAAAATGACATGTTTAAAAGCAGATCGTGAATATTGTTAAGAGAAAAAACACGATTATGCTGTTTAAAAGAGGTAGAACCAACATGAAATATGGAAACGTGTTTACCATCAATTAAGTGCACTTCTTCAGGGCCATTGTACTCGTTGTGAACAACAAGGCTGTCCAGTTGAGCTATCAAATGATGAGTCGCATTAGCATCCATAATCCACGATTGGTTAGGAGAGTGTGAATATGCGAGGTTAGAGGCAGGTTTAGGGAGACCTTTGGTGAGGCGGGATTTCTGTGAGGGGCAAACATTTGCAAGGTGTCCTGCACCATTGCAGTTATAACAAGTTAAGAGACCAGAAGCAGACATCATATATGGGGAAAAATTATTCCCTTGGCATGAAATGGGAGGGGCTGGTCTTGTACCAAGGCAACCTCTGCCACAACGAGAGAGGTGGCGATGGGCATAATGAACTATCATGGGTGTGTCTGCTGGTTTGATGCTCTCTTACAACTGAAGTTTTTCACTGAGAGCAAGACCATATAGGGTCTCATAGCTGATTGGTTCAGGCATGGACTCAATGGAGCGAACGAAGGGTCTGTAAGTAGAGCTGAAGCCACACAACAGTTTTTTCCCTAGATCATCCTCAAGTACAGCCAAGCCAAGAGATTGAAGGGTATCAAACATACATTTTCTCCGTTGAAAGAACAGAGGAACAATCTCACTGGGTCGCTGATCAAGTCGGTAAAGGTAGGACTGCTTCTGAGAGAGCCAGTGATCCAAATGATGACCAAGTGATCATTGCATTCCCATTGCACATATGTTGGATTCAGTTCATCATTGATGGTGGAAATAGGTGGTTGCTGAGAACCATCGATGTGGTGCATCAGTCCATGGCAACATAGTAGGGGCTGGAACTGTGTTTTCCAAAGAATGAAATTTGTGGGTGTGAGTCTAAGGAGGAAATAAGTATTTAGATTGGGAAGGGAAGGAGAAGTCATGGAGGGAGAACTCATGGGAGGGGAGGCTAGGGAAGATGCTGAAGTCTGATCGGTTGTTTCAATAGCCATGGTGGGAGGATGGATATCCAAGAAGCTAGGAGAAAAGAAAAAAAAAAAAAACTATTGTCATTTTAGAGGTTCTGATACGATGATCAATTATGTATTTCTCTATATATTATGAGATATTACAAATATATTTATACAGCTACAATCCATGGTGATACACATAGGTTTGTTATATCCAATAGTTTAGGTAAGGATAGGAGCTAAAATAAAGGACTGTAGCCTCATAGAAAGTTGGAGGGTTCGAATCCCTTTACGCAAAAAGAGTCAAAAGTTAATTCTTCACTTTACAGTAGTGGTCAATTTAATCCCTATTGTAGTTGTACCGATCCAACATCCTTTTTTGTTGTTAACTAATTACTAACTTTTATTGCTAATCCACTAACTGTGGATAGGAAGATCCTGAGCCTTTTTCTAAAATAAGGTATTTTTAAATCTTATTTCTCATAATATGATAGTTTTAAACTTAATTATCAAAATAAGGTATAATATGCCACATAGAATCCATCTTATTTATAAAAATTGACATGTCATTTTTATTTTAAAAAATAATTTTCTAAAAAACCGTTTTGCAATCACAAATTAATATCCTCCTCCTCGTTATCTTTACTACCTTCACCTTTTCTGTGTATGTATCAAACCACGTTTTTTTTTTCCTTCTTTTTTTGCTTTCGTTCTCTCCCTATCTTCCCGTGTCTCATAACAATCTTTATTTCCCCTTCTGTATAACAATCTCAAGATGAAGAAGAGGCCTATCTCGAAAGTACATGCCAATGACAGTAGGG